GAGGTTTGCCCAGGAGCCGACACTGTTTTCATGAAGGCGTCTAGAGTGTCCTCCTCTTCCTCTTGGGCTTTCCGTCTTTCAGCTAGGGATGGAAGGGGGGGGGGGCGGTGGAGGCGGCCGGAAGCGCGGGACTGCCTACCAGGACTGCCGGCCCGCCGGCCCGTCCCGTCCGCTGGCCGACATACGACATACGAGGAGTCACGCCACAATTAAATGCAGCCAGTTTTACCTTTTACAAAATGTCTATGGGAATGGTTTTTGCTGCCGGCCGCTGTCAACCCGACCGGCAGGCCTTGGTCCGCATTCCGCAGTCGTCTTCTCTTCTTATTCTTGCTCTTGCTTCCCTCCCTCTTTCATGTCCTATTACCACCACCACCCCCCCAGGGGGTAGAAGAAGAGGGTGGCAAGAGCGGCAACACGCCCCGAGCTCGCCCACGTTCGTAGTTGGACCTTCTTACTTAGGGCAGATGGGTGCATAGGGTAGGTAATCCGAGGGTAGGACTCTGATAACTAAAGAACCATCCAGAGTACGTCCGTTTTTCTCAGTCACACAGCAGTTCAGTTGCAGTTTTGGAATGGTTTTATCGACGTCAAATTAAGTTACATTTGGATTTTAGATAGGTTGGTCATTCAGCAAATTATAGGAGCTCAGCGCCTGCGAGGCTTGGGGTAGGCCACCCCGCAGTGCACGCACGCACTCCGGCCAAGGTGTTGCCTACCCATCAGGCGCTGAGAGAGCTTGCAGAGGCTTTGTACTTGGAAGTTCCGCACCGGCCAATGGCGGGGGTACTTTCTGGATGATCTTAGGGACACCCAGAAGAAAGTACGTCAGCTTTTCTCAAATTCATCCGGCAAATTATGGAAGCTGGGCGCCTTCTACACTCAGGGTAGGCCACCCCGCCTAACACGCATGAGCTGTGGGTGAGATGTTGCCTACCTATCAGGGGCCACGAGAGCTTGAATCGGCGAGCGAGTGAGTGAGTGAGACAGAGACAGAGAGAGACAGAAGACGCGATTCCAAGCGAAATGGGAAAATAAATCTCGCGGTGGCTCTTTTTTAATCGTTCCCGAAAATGATGGTTGGCAACAGTGTTGCGAACCTGGGCGGGCCAGGGTCTGGCATGGCATGCCCTGGGCTGTGATTGGATCAGCCTAACGGCCGGCCAGGCCGGCCAGGGCTCCCCTCCGCCAATACGTGCGCCCAGATTATGCGCGGCGAGGCGCGGTAGGCGCGGTAGGCGCGCTCCGAGGAGACCCCGGCCCCGGCCCCGGCCGGCTAACGACGCTCTTAGACACGAATCATATTATTGATATTGGACTGCGTCGGAATTAATTAAGAGGGATTTCTCCAAACGGCTGCCTGGCTTGTTTATTGGCCGACCCGGTCACAGCCAGTGTCGGCCCGACTCGGCCCGTATCTTCCTGTCTGTACCCCTGTACTGCCCGTCTATCTCTACCACCTCTTGGCAAGGGGGGTACAAACCGAGGTATGGAGGGTCTGGGGCATCCTATCTGAAATAAACTTCAAATCTGTTCGTCTATAAACTTCTGTTCGAGTAGTACTCGAGTAGTACTCGAACATTTCGAATCCGAACACTCCATGTTCGTGTTCGAGCGATCACGAACAGCTCGATGTTCGTTCGAACTCGATCGAATGCGAACATGTTCGCTCATCTCTACAGGCCGGGAGCGAGTACAGGGCGCCTAGGTGATTTGCGACCCCCGGCACAAGAGTCATGTCACTCTAAAATATCAGAGCAGGAATGAACGTTAGTTACCCATCGTCACAAAACACATTCTCATAAAAAATTAAAACCTATCAATTTTCAAAATGGCTCCAAATCATTCAAGGATTAGGTCGACA